GTCACTACCTGATCACAGAAATAACAGAACAGAAGTTTCAGACACTTCATTGACCACACAACAAGGAATATACACTTCACAAAAATAGTTTGGAAAGGTCACAAACTAAAAGCTCCAGCTCTCAACAGGGAAAAATCAGAACGGTTGGGGTGGGAAGGCAGGTTCTGGAGCACTGGCTGACTTAAAGAACTGGTCATGACTCAGGAACGTTGGACAGATTGACCTATTAAAAACTAAAATGATACATTAAGGTATTAAATGATACATTAAGGTATTAAATTACACATAAATAGTATAATTTAAAATTATACTACTTAGAATCCATGACTTCTTATAACCACTTCAGCACCCTTAATTACTGTCTTTCCTGTAAACAGCACCTCTCTGTATTTAGCCTCACAAGTTATTACAGCAAGGTGCATTTTTATATGTTAAACTAACAAAAAGAAAAATCAGTGTGTGTGAGATTATCACAATATTTCACTCATGCATTGCTGTCATATTCTAGCAATTGATTTTTGGTAAGGTTGCCAAGACCAGGCCATGGGGAAAGAACAGATGATGCTGAGAAAACAGAATATCCACATGCAAAGAAATGAAATTGGACTCTTACTTTATACCATATATAAAAATTATTTCAAATAATGGATCAAAGACTAACCGTAAAAGATAAAACTATTAAACTCTTAGAAGAAAACATAGAGGAAAGTCTTTATGACCATGGATTTAGCAATTATTTCTTTTTTAAAAGTTTTACTTATTAAGTTGATTGTGGTGACATTGGTCAACATGAACATATAGGTTTCATGTGTGGATTTCTGTTATAAGATCTGTATATTGCACCATGTGCTCACCACCCAAAGCCGAATCTTCTGTCTCCGCATATTAGGACCACTGTCTTCCCCCACCCCCTTCCTTCTGGCACTCACCACTCTGCTGTTTGTGTTCATAAGTTTCAGTTTTATATCCCACATGAGTGAAATCATATGGTTCTTAGCTTTTTTCTGTCTGACTTATTTCATTTCACATAATGTTGTCAAGGTCCATCCATGTTGTTGCAAATAGCGCTATTTCATCCTTTCTTATGGCTGAATAGTACATCTTCTTTATCCAGTCCTCTATCATGGGACACTTTGGTTGTTTCCATGTCTTGGCTACCGTGAATAATGCTGCAATGAACATAGGGGTGCATATATCTTTGCGAATACATGATTTTGAGTTTTTCAGGTAAATACCCAGGAGTGGGGTTGCTGGGTCATATGGTAGCTCTATTCTTAATATTTTGAGGAATTAGAGAACATTTTATGGACTTGATCCCAAAGGCAAGGGAGGTAAAGGCAAAAATAAATGAATGGGACTATATTGAATTAAAAAGCTTCTGCAGAGCAAAAGAAACTGACAACAAAAAAAAGAGCCAACCATGGGAGATATTTGCAGATAGTAGCTCCAACAAAGGTTTAATATCCAAAATATATAAAGAACTCGTAAAACTCAACACCAAACAAACAACCCAATAAAAACGTGGGCAGAGAACCTGAAGATACATCTCCCCCACAAAGGCATACAAATAGCCAATAGATATATGAAAAGATGTTCAACCTCACTGGCAATTAGGGAAATGCAAATAAAAACTACAATGAGATACCACCTTACACCTATTAGAGTGGCCATTATCAACAAAACAAGCAGAAATAAGTGTTAGAGAGTTTTTGGAAAAATGTAACCCTCATTCACTAGTGGTGGGAATGTGGACTATCAGTGATTTCTTAAATGACATCAAAAGCATAGCTTACAAAAGAAAAAATAAGTTGGACTTCATCAAAATGAAAAACTTGTGCACCAAAGAATACTATTAAGATATTTTCATCTATTAATGATGGCTAACTTTTCTTTAATTTTCTTAACTATTAGAAATTTTCAAAATAGAAAATTTATTCTAGATTTAATCATAAATAAGAATAAATAGAGCTGGAATTATTTTGACATAATGTGCAAATTGAATTTTAAAAATGTATCTGAGCAAATTCATAGTCATTGACATCTCAAATCTGCAGTTAGATTTCTAAAAACCATTGCAGCATATAATATGGAAGGTGTATGTTTGGTTTTTAATTTCACCTAAGATTGAGGACTCAAATAATAGATTCACTTCTCTGATTTTTATTGATGATAGTGATGACTGGATCACTGAATGAGAAGGAAGTAACATGTTTATGAGGTAGGTGAATGATGTGATTCCCATTAATAAAGGTGAAAACAAAAAAAGGAAACAAGAGAGTGAAAAGAAAACTTACAAAATGGCAGAAAATATTTGCAAAACCATGTATTTCATAAATAATTAATGTTCAGGATATATAAAGAACTCCAAAAACCCTCAAACAATCCAATTAATAAGTGCACGAAGGACTTGAATAATATACAAATGGTATATAAAACATATGAAAAATGCTCAACATTGTTAGTGTTTGGGGAAATACAAATCAAAACCACAATGAGATATCACTTTATACCCACTAGGAAAATATCGAAAATAACAACTGGTGGTGAGGATGTGGAAAAATTGGAACTCTTGTATATTGGTTGTGGGGACGTAAAATAGTGCAGCTACTGTGGAAAACAGTTTGGTAGTTCCTCAAAAACTAAACATAGAATTACCATATAATCAGCAATTCTAAGTAAACACCCAAAAGAATGAAAACAGATCCTTGTAAAGCACGTTTATGATGGTATTACTAACAGGAGCAAGAGGGTGGAAGCAATCAGAGTGTTAAGAAAAAGTGGTGATGGCTATATAGCTTTGTGAAATGTACTTAATGCCATTGAATTGTGCACTGAAAAAAATTTTAAAGGATGAATTTCATGTTATGTATATTTTACCACAATTACAAAAAAAAGGCAAGTTCTTAATAAAAATGATAGTGCACAGGACTCATGAAAGTAAGCAAGCCTAGGTGTTCGTAGGAAGAAAAGGGAATGTTTGAGGGATTAAAGATTGCAGGGTATTTGAAGGGAAGATATTTAGGGAGTAAGATTGAGAGAACTGAAACATAATGATGTGCCACATAATGATGTTCAGTCAGCAACAGACTGGTATACAACGGTGGTTCCCTAAAATTATAATGGAGATGAAAATTTTTCATTGTTTAATGACGTGGCAGCTTTCATAACATCTTAACAGAATACTTTCCTCATTTGTTTGTGGTGATACTGGTGGAAACAAACCTTTTGCATCACAGTTTGGTAAAAATATAACACATACAATTATGTATGGTACATAATATTGATGATGATAATAAATGACTATTTTTCTGTGTTGTGTACTTACTTTTATCATTTTTAGAGTGCACTTTTTCTACTTGTAAAAAATGTTGGTTGTAACATAGTGTGCTGTGTTAGCCTGCAGCAACCCATACATCTCCTATTTACCACATCTCTTAGTTGCATCATTTTCTCTTGTGCTTGATTTAATCTTGTGTTGTTTTGTACAATGTAAGCATATTATGCTTATAGTATACTAGAGGCTCAGTGCACGAAATTCGTGCATGGTGTGTGTGTGTGTGTGTGTGTGTGTGTGTGTCCCTCAGCCCAGCCTGCACCCTCTCCAATCTGGGACATCCCTCTCACAATTCAGGACTGCTTTCTTCCGACTGCTCACCTGCCTGCCTGCTTGATTGCCCCTAACTGCTTCTGGCTGCCAGCCTGATCACCCCCTAACCAATCCCCTGCCAGCATGATTGATGCTTAACTGCTCCCCTGCTGGCCCGATTGTCCCTAACTGCCCTCCCCTGCCAGCCTGGTCACCCCTAACTGCCCTCCCCTGCTGGCCTTGTCACTCCCAACTGCCTTCCCTGCTGGCCTGGTCACCCTTAACTGCCCTCCCTTGCCAGCCTGGTTGACCCTAACTGCCCTCCCCTGCTGGCCTGGTCACTCCCAATTGCCCTCCCCTGCAGGCCTGGTCACCCCCAACTGCCCTCCTCTGCAGGCCTGGTCACCCCCAACTGCCCTCCCCTGCCAGCCTGGTCACCCCCAGCTGCCCTCCCCTGCCAGCCTGTTCACCCCCAGTTACCCTCCCCTGCAGGCCTGGGTCCCCCCCAACTGCCCTCCCCTGCAGGCCTGGGTCCCCCCCAACTGCCCTCCCCTGCATGCCTGGTCACCCCCAACTGCCCTCCTCTGCAGGCCTGGTTCCCCCAACTGCCCTCCCTTTCAGGCCTGGTCCCCCCCAACTTCCCTCCCCTGCAGGCCTGGTCTCCCCCAACTGCCCTCCTTTTCAGGCCTGGTCCCTCCCAACTGCCCTCCCCTTCTGGCCATCTTGTGTCCACATGGGGGTGGCCATCTTGTGTGTTGGAGTGATGGTCAATTTGCATATTACCTCTTTATTAGATAGGAAGGTATGATAGGCTTGCTTCTTGTAGTACGGGCTTGTAGCTGAAGAGCAGTAGGCGATACTATACAGCCTAGGTGTGTAGTAGGCTGTAATATCTAGGTTTGCATAAGTGCACTTGATGTTTGCCAATGATGAAATCACCTAATGAAGCCTTTCTCAGAATGAATCTCCATTGTTAAGCAGACCATGACTGTAACAGTGAGATGTGTTGCCTGATGTTTTGGAATGTTAGGATTTCAGTGGTCGAATGCTTCCAGTTAATACAATTGAGGATGTGACCATGGGTTTGCACTGCTAAATACGAGAAGGAAATGACAGTCTTGAGAATTGAACATGAATAAATTTACACAGGAGAGAGGGTAGAAAGCAAGCCTGAGTTGGATGTTGAAGATGAGTAGATGTCAGTGGTTGATTTGCAGGGGTCTCAAAGGAAAAATTATTTACTTCTACTCTATTTCTTTGTTGTGTACATTTATGATAGTATTGACCCAGAGTTTGTTGAATATCTTTTTATTAGTCAAATTTTGGTAAGCCTAGTAGGTTGCCAGTGGCTAAGTCAATCCTAAAGTTGAGAGGTGTAGAAATGGGCTCAGGCACTATTTCGGCTCTTCCGTAGGCGCAGAGGTGTTAATCTGTGTACATCAAGGTAAGTACACTGAAGGGGGAAAGCACTGGCCTCTTTATTTTGCTTTTAAAAGTGAATAAGTGGGGAGGGGAGTAGGAGAAGGGGAGGTAATCAACCAAAGACCTTGTATGCGTATGTGCATAACCCATGGACACGAGACAATAGGGTGGTGAAGGCCTGGGGGTGGGAGTGGACTGGAGGGGATCAATGGGGGTGGGGAGGGAAGGGGACATACATAATACTTTCAACAATCAAGAATTATTTAAAAAAATAAGTTAAAAAAAGTGTATAAGCAAGTCGTTAAAGGTCTTTTCATTACAGTAGTTTTATTTTTTTAGAAATGTACACATTGTAGTGCTTCAAAAAGAATATCTTTTGGATAGAATCTGATTAAAATTTCATATTCTGAATCATATAATGATTGTTATAAAGTGTTTTCAATTTCAAAGAGAAGAAGCCATTTGGAAAGCCCACCTAATTAAATCCTACTTTGAAAGTAGTTTGGCCTCTAATTTTGTTTTCTCTTGTGGCAGATCTTTTATATAATACTAGAGGCCTGGTGCACAGATTCATGCACTGGTGGGGTCCCTCGGCCTGGCCTGCGGGGATTGGGCCGAAACCAGCTCTCTGACATCCCTTGAGGGGTCCCAGATTGCGAGAGGGTGGTTCTCGGGTGATGCGTCTCGGAATCGGGCTCCCTCTTCTCTGATTCCAGGTGCATCACCCGAGAACTGCAGCTATCAAGTCACTGCAGCTTGGCAGCTTCTGCATTGAGCATCTGCTCCCTGGTGGTCAGTGTGTGTCATAGCTACCAGTTGGAGTGTCTGCCCCCTGGTAGTCATTGCACGTCATAGCTACTGGTTGGATTGTTGCTTAGGCTTTTATATATAGAGATCCAGTGCACAAAATTTGTGCACTGGTGGGGGGCGTCCGTCAGCCCGTCCTGTGCCCTCTCACAGTTCAGGACCCCTAGGGAGATGTCTGACTGCTGGATTAGGCCCGATCCCCCCCTCCGTGATCCCCCTGGGGATTGGGCCTAATCCAGCAATCGGACATCTGTCTTGCAGTCTGGGACCCCTTGCTCCTTACTGCCCACCTGCTTGCTGCTCCTTACTGCTCCTTAGCGCTGATGCAGAGGCTGCTGAGGCGGGAGAGGCTCCCACCACCATCGCTGTGCTTGCCAGCCATGAACCCTCTTCTGCTGAACGGTGCTCCCCCTATGGAAGCGTACTGACAACCAGGGGGCAGCTGCTGCATTGAGCTACCAGTTGGAGCATCTGCCCCCTTGGGGGGATGTCCAACTGCCAGTTTAGGCCCTATCCCTGGCTCCTAACCACTCACCTGCCTGCCTGCCTTAACCACTCTGCCTGCCTGCCTAGTCCCCCTAACTTCTCTGCCTTGCGGCCTGGTCGCCCCTATTAACTTTTTTTTTTTTAATCTTATCCCCTTCACACACAATTGTATTCGACTTCCTTATTGGCTTCTCCCTCTCACACAATTTTTCTCTCTCCTTTATGTAACACATTTTCCTACTGACTCATCATTTATAAACTTTTCTTTCCTCCTTATTTCCTACTTCTGTTCCATCATCCTTCTTCCCATCTTTCTCCTACCCTCGCTCCCTCCCCACATTCCTTCTTTCCTTTATCTTTACCCCTCCCCGTCCTCCCTTTTCCTTCCTTCCCACCTTAATTTTTTTCTTCACTTCCTCCCTTGGACCCACTTTGCTCCCTCCCCCATTTATTCCTTTTTCCCATTCTCCTTTTAAGGTCTACTGGCTCCCCTTTAAAACTTTTCTTCCCTCCCTCTTTCTCTCTCATCCTATCTTTCCCATTCATTCTTCTCTACTTACTTCCTCTGTTTTAATATCTATCTATCTATCTATCTATCTATCTATCTATCTATCTATCTATCATCTATCTGCCTAATTATTCACTATCATTTATCTTTTTTCTTTTCTGACTCCTACTTTTAAAATCTGTCCCCAGTACACAAGTATACTTGATTTTCATTATAGCTCCTACAGTTCACTCATACATCTTCTTTCCTTCTTTAACTCTGCTCTCTACTGATTCCTTTATAAAGTTCTTCCCTCCTTCCTTCTCTTCTTAAGGCTTCTGTTCATGGGGGTATTAACCCCCAGCTCAGGGCTCAGCCCCGGCCAAGTGTTTGCCGCCCCCGCCCTCCCCACTGCCGTCCTGCTCCCATTCCCTGCCCGGGACGCCCGGCCCAGCGAGGTGGCCGAGGCCCACATGGCCTGGGTGCTGCTGCTGCCAAGAAGCAGGAGCACCTCCGCCCAGAAGGCCTCGGACCATCCACCACTCCATCCTGGAGCTGTGGATGCCTGGACCCGTGGGTGCCCTGCCAATGGCCTGCGCTGGAGGCCACCGTCCTCCTCCTGTGTCTCGCGGGGCTCCTGCCCCACCCCTTTCCGGGTGCACCTGCTCTCCCCACCCCCCGCGGTCACCACTCCCTCCCGTGTGCACCCCCGCGTTTCCTTCCCTTTTCCATTTCTGCATCTTTTTCTTGTTCCTTTTCTGTATTTCTGTTTCTCCTCTCGCCTGTCTCCTTGCAGGCCTGCCTTCCTCTCCCTCTCCTTTCTTACCCCCTCCTATCATATCCTATCCTACCCTGGGCCTTGCAGCTGCCTGAGCAGAGGGCGGGGACACAGCCTGCTGATCTGGTTGTGATGTTACGGTATAACAGATAATTTGCATATTTCTCTATTAGTATAGATAGTCTCTGATTTATATTGACTTTCAAAATGTTGTTTTCATTTTTCTTAGGAAAACGGGAAATCATTTTCACAACTTCATTAGTTGGCAAGATCTGAGAGCTATTGAACTTGTAAAATCTTGGAATAGTTCTCTTATAATGAAGGTAATATTTTTCTTCTCTGCAATTGGATATTACTGGTTTTCCCTGTAAATGCCCTTTAACTGTAGACTTAATTGTATAATCTCATACCTATGCTGTTTTTGGACATTATACAAGAATACACATATGCACACTACCAAACCAGTAAATTTAATAATGGTTATCCAGAAGTGTATGTGGTAGACTGAAGTGCTTAACAACTACACTTCAAGAAGTCTTGAGGAAGATTTGAGGTGGACTAGGGATTCATATGCTAGTGAGAATTCACATTTCCATTCCTGGAGAAATGGAAAAAATATAGACTGTGCTCAGAAAAGATACAGCAATGTCCAAATTTCATCACCTTTTGTTATAAAAGTGGAGAATATATAGTAAGATAGTCAACTAGCTGACTGCCATATGCTCTTAATATATAACACCTGGCACATAGTAAGCAAGTGATGATGACAGACATAGTAGCATCCACACCATCTCACTCCTGGGTGGGGAACTGAGTCAGGGGAAAGAAAATTTTCCAGTTCATCAACTGTGGTGAAACTCACAATATTTGGTGTTATAATGAATGTTGCATATTGATTATTTTAATACTTCTAATGCTGCAAAGTTAGATGTCTTCTCAGCTAGGGTGCCCACACCAGCCAGTGCAGGGGGGAGTGTCAGGAGCACCAGTTTTACTTTTTAAGTATTTGGGGACATTAATTTTATATAAAAACAAATATGAATATACTATAGAATATGACAGCAATGCATGAGTGAGACATTGTGATAATCTCACACACACTGATTTTTCCTTTTTTTTAGTTTAACATATAAAAATGCACCTTGCTGTAATAATTTGTGAGGCTGAATACAGAGAGGTGCTGTTTAGAGGAAAGACAGTAATTAAGGTGTTGAAAGTGGTTATAAGAAGTCATGGATTCTAAATGGTACAATTTTAAATTATACTATTTGTGTGTAATTTTATACCTTAATGCAGCAGTCACCAACTGGTGGTCTGCGGACCACTGGTGGTCTGTGATGTCCGAAAGGTTGGCGATCGCTGGTTTAAGGAAACCTTTAGAGCAGAGGTTGCCAACCGGTGGTCCTCGGACTACTGGTGGTCCATGAGGTCTGAAAGGTTGGTGACCGCTGCCTTAATGTATCATTTTAGTTTTTAATAGATCAATCTATCCAACGTTCTGAGTCATGACTAGTTCCTTCCAATACTATGCTGAACAGGAGTGGTGAGAGTGGGCATCCCTGTCTTGTTCCTGTTCTTAGGGGAAATGGTTTTAGTTTTTGCCCATTGACTATGATGTTGGCTGTAGGTTTGTCATATATGGCTTTTATTATGTTGAGGTATGATCCCTCTATTCCCACTTTGCTGAGGGTTTTTATCAAGAAAGGTTTTTGGATTTTGTCAAATGCTTTTTCTGCATCAATTGATATGACTGTGATTTTTATTTCTCAGTTTGGTTATGTGATGTATCGTGTTTATTGATTTGCAAATATTGTACCACCCTTGCATCCTTGGAATAAATCCCACTTGCTCATGGTGTATGATCTTTCTGATGTAATGCTGGATCCAATTTGCTAGGATTTTGTTGAGGATTTTAGCATCTATGTTCATCAGGGATATTGCCTTGTAATTCTCTTTCTTTGTAGTGTCTTTATCTGGATTTTAGATTAGGGTAATTTTGGCTTCATAGAAAGAGCTTGGAAATGTTCCTTTCTCTTGAAATTTTTGGGATAGTCTGAGGAGGATAGGTTTTAGTTCTTCTTTGAATGATTGGTAAAACTCCCCTGTGAAGCCATCTGGTCCAGGGCTTTTCAATTTCCTCCATAATTATAGGCCTATTCAGATTTTTTATTCTTTCTGATTGAGTTTTTTCAAAATATATTTTATTGATTTTTCACAGAGAGGAAGGGAGAGGGATAGAGAGTTAGAAACATCAATGAGAGAGAAACATTGATCAGCTGCCTCCTGCACACTCCCTGCTGGGGATGTGCCCGCAACCAAGGTATGTGCCCTTGACTGGAATCGAACCTGGGACCCTTCAGTCTGCAGGCCGACGCTCTATTCACTGAGCCAAACTGGTCAGGGCTCTGATTGAGTTTTGGAAGGTCGTATTTTTCTAAGAATATGTCCATTTCTTCTATATTGATCAATTTGTTGAAATAGAGTTGTTCATAGTATTTTTTTGCTATGTATTTCTGTGGGTTCTGTTGTTACTTTGCCTCTTTCATTTCTGATTTTGTTTATTTGGGTCCTCTCTCTTTGCTTCTTGGTGAGCCTGGCTAGAGGCTCATCAATCTTGTTTATTCTTTCAAAGAATCGGCTCTTGTTTTTATTGATCTTTTGTATTGGTTTTTTGGTCTCTGTCATTTATTTCTGCTCTGATCTTTATTATCTACTTCTTCAACTCACTGTGGGCTTTTCTAGTTGCTCTCTTTCTAATTCTTTAAGTATTAGAGTTAGATAATTTATTACAAATTTTCTTGTTTTTGGGGTAGGCCTGTAATGCTATGAACGTCCCTCTCAGGACTGCTTTCACTGTGTCCCATAGATTTTCACTGTATTTAAAGGGCCAGAAGGTTGAGAACCACTGGTCTAGAGGCTTTATCAAGTGATGTCAAAGGGCTATTAAAATCCCCTACTATGATTGTATTACTGTCGACCTCTCTCTTGATGTCTTCCCGAAGTTTTTTTTTTATGTATTTGGGTGTCCCTGTATTGGGTGCATATATGTTTACCAGAGTTATATCCTGTTTTTGTATCAATCTCTTTGGAATTATGAAGTGACCTTCCTTATCTCTTGTTGCTGCATTCACTTTGAGGTGTATTTTTTCCAATATAAGTACTGCTATCCCAGCTTTTTTTTCATTTCCATTTGCCTGAAAGATATTTTTCCATCCCTTCACTATCAGTCTGTGTGAGTCCCTTGTTCTGAGGTGGGTCTCTTGTAGACAGCATATAAGGGTCATGTTTTCTTATCCATTCAGCCACTCGATGTCTTTTGATTGGAGCATTTAATCCATTTATGTTTAAGGTTATTATTATTCTTTGGATCTTTTTTTATTTTTATGTCTGTTTTCTTTCTTTCCTTTCTATTTCTTCTATTTACAGCTGTCCTTTTCACATTTTTTACATTGCTGGCTTGGTATTGATAAACTCCATTAATCCTTTTTTGTCTGCAAAGCCCTTGATTTCCCCTTTAATTTTGAATGATAGCCTTGCTGGATAGACTATCCTTGGATTTAGTCCCTTGCTTTGCATCATTTTGTATACTTCATTCCATTCCCTTTTGGCCTGATTTATTTCTATTGAGAAATTAATTGGTAATCTAATGGGAGATCCCTTGTAGGTAACTCTCTGTCTCTCTTGCAGCCTTTAAGGTTCTCTTTTGTTAATGTTTGCCAGTGTAATTATTTCGTTTCTCGGTGTGGGTCTTTTTGGGTTCATCTTGTTTGGAACTCTGTGCTTATGTGACTTTTTCTTTCCCCAAATCAGGAAAGTTTTCTGTCATTATTTCTTCAAATAGGGTTTCTAAGCCTTGCTCCTCTTCTTGTCATTTTGGCACCCCTATTATATGTATGATACTTCATTTTATGTTGTCCCAAAGCTCCCTTAGGCTCTCCTCCTGCTTTTTATTTTTTTTCTCCAATTGCTGTTCAGATTGTTTCTGCCCTGTCTTCTAATTCGCTAATGTAATCCTCAGCTTCTTCTAGTCTACTGTTGAAATCTTTCATTGTGTTTTTTTATTATACCTGTGTCATTCTTTATTTCCTCTTGATTCTTATATAAGTTGTTGATTTTCTCATCCAGCTGGTTTAGAAACTGTATGACCCTTACTCTCAATTCTTTTTCTGACATATTGCATGCCTTCATTTTATTTAGTAGCTTTTCTGTTGACTCCTCCTTTTTTTTCCCTTTGGGTGTTGTTTCTTTGTCTCCCCATTTTTGCTTTCAACAAAGGATTTAGACTTCATGTCACCTGAGGCCTGTGGCTGCAGCGGCAGGCTTCCAGGAGGGTCATGCTTTTCAAGACTCTCTGGCGGGCCCAGGTACCAGGACACGTGGTTCCCAAGGTTGAAGCCACAGGCTTGGCAGGTGGGTTGCACAGTCTGAGACTTGACAGCAGGCCCTGTTACTGGTATGCACAGGGCCAGGGTTGAAGCGGTGGGCTTGGCAGATGATCACGCAGTCACAGTGCCCAGGGTTGAAGCGGCGGGCTTGTCGGGCAGGTCGTACAAGTCCCAGACTCGCCCATGGGCTCAGACACTGGGATGCATGGGGTCCGGGGTTGAAGTGGTGGGCTTGACAGGTGGGTCGCTCAGTGCGGGGCCTAGGTTTGAAGCGGCAGGCTGGTGGGATGGGAGCGCACTGCAGACTCACAGGAGCCTGAGGCCAGGGAAGCTGGAGTCCCTGTGTTCATGGTTCGACAGCTGAGGTAGCAGGTCTTTGGCTGGAGTGGCTGTAGAGTCCAGGGTGGTGTCTGAGGCCAGTCTGGGTGGAGGTGAGGCTGGGCTCCTATTCACAGCAGCTCTCCCCTTCAAGATGGTGTGTTTTCTGTGTCAGAGCCAGCCACCCCGGCAGTGATTGCAGTGATAGCAGAGTCTCCTCCCCATTTAGGAGAGCCTGGTCCGCCAGCCCCCGAAAGTCCTACAGGATATAACTGTCCCTCACTCACACACACACCACACACATCCACACACTTCCCTTTTGCTCCCTCACTCACTTACACTCTCTTCCTCACTGCCACCCTTCCGGCCGCTATCTTGACTCTCTCAGTGTTTTTCTTATTTTAACATCTTTGACATTAGGTTACATTTTGAACCATTAATTGTATCTTAATATTGTGTCATAATTTAACTTGCAGGATTTTTTTCTTTTTTGGTGATACATCAAATTGCAATTTGTGTCTTCTTACATGTGTCTTCTTAGGTGATCTCATTTGTTGATTACTTTTTTTCTGTCCTTTGCCAATAGATCAGGGTGGGGAACATCCAGCCAGTGGGCTGTA